CGGGTTGGGGATTTCGGGGTAGGGGGACCCCGTTGTACACCCGGCCGTTCGGCGCGGCGGGCCCGTGGGGGGCTTATTTGCCCCCCCCCCCCCCCCCCCCCACATAGGTTCCTCACTCGTCCTCCCGTGCCTGGGGCACTTCCTATCCTGCGAGCTCGTCGACGACGACAAGATGTTCGATTAGAGGAAGAGCCAGATCGTCGTGTATAAGAGCGAAACCCTGTTCCAGATGGAAGGGTATGTTACAAGTCGCTGTCGCAACCGTAAATATTATACCGGACCGGATCCGCGCCCAGGACCAGGACTTGTGGGGTTTTTGCACATGGTTCCCTCGTCGCCACACTCAGTCGACCAAACAAATTGGCTTGGTCGAATTAGCGCGAAGAAACTATCCAACCTTTGATAACAATTTCAACAACGATCGTCTTTGGCGAGAGCTGCAGGATTCGAACCTGCGCGGTTTCCCATCTTTCTTATTCCCTTAAATTACGTCGCCACTCCCACACTACCCAGACTGAACCCGGAGTGGACCTGGTATGGAGAAATCGTCAAGTTATTGTTAGACCCGACGGGTGTTGCTGAACTACCACCAAATGGACGGAAGGTACTGGTCAAGCAGTTGGGTTGGTACCGGATAATTGAGGACAGTTTTCGATGTGTTAAATAGGAAGGGGAGATGTCATGTTGTGTATTGCTAGAGGAAGTGGATGCCACTGTAGAATGGATAGAGGATGGGTACGGACGTTTCGCCCCTTGACATCACAGACCCGGACTCCTTTTCACTGCCTGGCGGCTTTTCCTTCGACATATTTGTTAAACATATCAGCTATTTCATTGGGAATGGCAATGATGGGAGCATTGGTGTTGTCACGAGGCGGAACTAAGGGGCTAGAGAATAACGCCGTTGTGGCGCGAAGAGCTCTAGCTACTCCCTTCCAGGGGATGCGGTATACAAGGTACATAGACCTTCCTTTGTCTACAGCCAAGGGCCAACTCCCGATCCTTCTAGGCTACTAGTTAACCCTGGCGAGACCTCTGGCTACCAGCTCTCACAGAGGAGGCTTCTGACAGGCGTTCCGTGACTGTGAATGACTCTGTTATGGCTATGCCGAGTCCCATAAATAGATAGATCTAGCAGACCTTGCGCTGGATTAGCTACTTGAATGAAGACAACTATTGCGGAGCTAATGATCACCTTATTAGGCACCAAACTCCTATATTTGACAACATACCACGCTCAAACGGACTGACAGAGGGAGAGAACAATTCTACGCATTAAATCAACTTGTCGACACCTATTCCACGCATTGGATGATCCTGTGGAATAAGCTTCACACAATCCAGTACACTGAAATCACACACTCTGTGCAGCGTATGCTTGGTAGCGGGGGAGACGTTGATTAATCTAGAAATCAATTCTTGAGTTCTCCGAAGAAGTACGCATTTCTCCCTATACTTAGGCGAAGAACCGTATAGTAATAGTCGAAATATAAGATTTCTCCATATATGTGTCCCGTGATCCAAACCTGTGGTGATAATTCAAAATGTGGTCGTGATCTTTCTATGTGTTAAATTCCCCTTAGTTTTGGGGACATTGTCAAGTTACTCGGTTCTCTTGATTCAATTTCCGCAACCTACGTACCTAGGTAATACTTATGTCTGCCGATTTCTACAAGGCCAGATGAAGGATCAAGAGACAAACTTCACCTCTAAGAGATACTCATATACTTGTTGCAAAGTCGGTTATACATCGTGGTGGCGGATGATAAAAAGGGGGGAGAAGAGGGGAAAGAGATATCTAAGTTGAACCGATGTTTATTGATCCCAAGTCCCGAGAATGAGTAATCTAATACGTCGGACTTTTGATGAATAATATAAGCTACCTAGGCATGGAGGTAGCTACACATGCCTGAGCAGTACATAAAGAACACCCTGATGGACACCTTGATGGGCAGTGGATATCGTATGGGGGATCTCATTTTTCGTATATAATTACATACAGCAGCCGCATTTTACCACGGTACATGCCTGTTTCCCTCTCATAATCCTTTTACTCCTTCGATAAGGTACATTTTGACCCTCACATAGGGTGTAGGTAGTAGATGATTTTTGCTTCATCTTTTCATAATACCATCAACATCCTCCTGTTTTCTTTTCTTTTGGTTATTCAGGCCGGAATCGTTTATTTAAGGGCGCCGTTCTTCTTGGCCGTGTAAGTGGCGATGAGGTCCATCAGCGGCGGCGATAGGCAGTCGTACGTCTCGAGGCCGACGCTGTTCAGCTTCGCCCTGACCTCGCCAATCTTAGCCGGGTCGAAGCCCTGCTCGATGCTGGATTTCGGAGTCAGCCAAGATTCAGACTCGGATTCGATTTTCTTTTATATGTTTTGATTGGACTCACATGCTCGACACGAAAGCCGCGAACTGCGGCTCCTGCCAGCCCTTCTCGGGGCTCAGCTCGGCGTGCACGAAGTCGAGGCCCTTGAAGGGGTGCTCGACCTCGATGCGGCCGTAGAGGTGCGTGCCGCACTCGCTGCAGGCGTGGCGCTGGATGGCGGCGCTCGGGTCCACGATCTTCAGCTTCGACTCGTTGGCGGTGACGGCGAGGGCGTCGCGCGGCACGACGCCGACGATGGAGAAGAGCGCGCCGGAAGGCTTCCAGCACTTGGAGCACCCGCACGCGTGGTTGTGCGCCACGTTGGACGAGAGCGTTACCTCGACGGGCGAGCTCGCGCACTTGCAGTACAGCTTTCCGCCCGCGAAGTTGGGGTCGCCCTTGGTGATGCCGTTGTCGAGGAGGGGGTGGAGAGAAACCATTTTTTCTTTTCTTTTCTTCGGTTTGAGTGCTTTAGGTTGATGGTATGTATGTTTTTCTTTTCTCTCTTTTCCTTTCTTCTCTTTCTCTACGAGTGTAAGAAACAACTACTATTCTACCAAACGGATCGAGGGGTAGACGTTCTTATACTGGCTGCCTGGATATAGAGCGGACACATTGGAGGAGCTACATACGCGAGGGGTATACCTGCTTGATGGAAACATTACGACGCACCGCCCCCGAGCCATCGATCTCCGAAGCTGCCCGCGCGACCGCAGGTGGAGGAAGAGGGGATGCGGTAGATCATCTAGTCGTCTTGCGGAAGCGTTTCGCTAGGCCATGACGTGCTTTTTTCGTAACACCTAGAGCCTTGGTGATCCCTCCCGCATGATGAGCGCAGCGAAAATCGATATAGGCTGATACCCAGTCCCTCGACGGCACCTTAGCGCGCCAACACCGCGTCTTTCGCAGGGGGGCCACGGCAGATAGGGGAGGGATATAGCTTACAAAGGTATTTTCCTGGACGGGACGGACGCGCCGGAGATAAGTCGGGATGACGAAGGGAGGGATTGGCGACGGTGTTGGAGTCACCTCGGGTCACCTTGCAACCTCCCCGACCGGCAATTTTATAATTGGAGGTGTCGACTCTTGGCCAATCGGGCTGTGGATTCGTGAGACTAGTTGCCTTATGCGTCGAACTAGGACTCTTGATAGAGGCCGAGTTACCAGCGAGATGCCAAACGCGCTAATGGTTGACCGAACGTATACTCGTATCAACTTGCATCTTATATCGTAGGTGACAGTCCGGAATTAGCAATTACAGTGAGATATATAACCTGATAGAAAATAAATTTAATGTCTTTCCCCGATCGCGGAGTTTCTCTGTAACTTTCTAGGCAGGTTTTGCCTAGATATTCCTAGTATTCCTAGTATTCCTAGTATCGTCTTCGATTAAGACATATTCTCGTTTCCTGCTAGAGCTTTGCTCAGGAGCAGCCCGTCCATACATGTGCGGACTTCGACAAACTTGCCCCTTTTTTCGCCGCGTGGACCATGATTACGTTGAATTATATACTAAGTCCGGGCAGAAGCACCAATATCTTGAGTATTTTAGATATAGTCCAACCAACGTCTTGTGCGAAGAACATGTACGTCCGAGCTCAGAACTCACCAGTCTTGCGTCTTGCTCCCGTAACTAGTTCGATCATAGCATATCTCTCAGTTTCTCGGTCTATAATGTTCCTAATGTGTAATTTGACAGTTCTTTCAAATATACCAGAAATCCGGGCTAAGGCCTAAGAACTGAAGGTGGCTTTTGTTGTAGCGCCCTGCGAATATGTGTGATCCTAAGTCGACAAAACGGCAAGTATAGTCGTGTCATGGTAGAAAGAGTTGGGCGAATATAAGATATCACATTCTAGGTCGTCTAAAAGACAAATGGACTTGTGTAGGTACACTTATACAGTTTGCCAGCCAGCCGGCCAACGCAACGAAGGTAGTAAGTACACGTAAAAGACTCAAAAGTATCGGGAACTCAACAAGAAATAACGAAAACAGACCTGCTTTTCATCTCCCATCATATCCACTTCATCTTGTTGCAGTCTAGAGGAGAGGAAAACGCTGAATGTGTGAAATGGAAAAAAGGCAAGTATGCTCGAGGCATCTTGACGTGGCATTGGATATTTTGACGTCAGGTGAAACGACGGGAACCGTCAAATGGGATCGATAGCGATCCCACGAGATACAGAAGTTCATACAACCATGAATACAAAGAAGGAGCAGAGAAAAAAAGGTACCTCCCAAGATCTAATGACTCGCCGACTAGGCACACGACCAATTTTCAAATACCACATCTCGCGCACCATAAAAAGGGGGCGAGTGCGATTCGTTATAAGCGAGCAGGGATCCACGAATAAATGAGAGGAAACAAATTCCCAGCTCCACAGCGCCCCAAAACGTACACATCAAGCTACGCGGCCGGGACGAACCAACACGCAAGGCCAACACGCCAGACCAGCGCTTAATGCTGCACTTGCGTCTGGACCTGCACCTGCCCAGGCGCCACAGCCTCAACCTCGACCTCGAACCTCGGTATACCGCCAGCGCTCAGCACATTAAACAGCTTCGTCAGGTCGTCGCCGCGGTACGCGCTCATATCGTACGCCTCGCCGGGGGCGAACACCGCCCTGCGCACGCAGGCGCGGAGTGCTAGAGCACTACCATTACCGCTACCACTCCCACTACCCGTAGGCGAGTGGTGGTGGTGCGCATGCAAAGGGTTAAGCTTCATCGAGAAGCTTCCATCAGCATTGGTAGAACCGCCGGTGCTGGCCCCGTTATCGAACGCCGAACCGTGCGACCTCGCGTACGCGACCGCCATCTCCTGCAAAGCGCGCACGCTCGGCCGCGCGCTCTCCAGGATCTTGGCCTCGCCGCGGCCCGGCCACCGGATCGTCAGGCGCACGTCGTACAGCCTGCTGTTACCGGGCCCGACGCCCACGTTCTGGGCGTGGTTATGATTCTGATGGTGGTTGTGGGTAGAGCCGGAGCTGAGGTTCGGCATGCTAGCCTTGTACTGCAGCGACGCGGCCCTCTGGACCTGGACCTGAGGCTGCGCCTGCGCTTGTGCTTGAAGCGAACATGGCACCGTGATGGTGGGGGCACGTAAAGGAGGTGTGGTGACGGGCTGGCTTCCTGCGCCTACGCCTGCGGGACACGCTGATGCTTGCGGGAGTTGATGCGGATGCGGGTGCGCGAACGCGAAGTTCTGCGGTACGGGCGCGTTGCGCGCGGGAGGCGGCGGCGGCGGCATAGGCGGGCCGGTCCATCTAGGTGGCGGCGGGGGCGGGCGGTACGAGGTCGTCGACGACGTATTGCCTATACCGCTGATACCACCCATACCACTCATACTACCCGTAGCTTTCCCAGCAGCATTCCCAGCGCTATTGCTGGTGCTAAGGGTGTTGCTCACGACAGGGCTGTCACCGCATCTAGCGACGCATCCGAAACTGTCGACGTAAACCGTCTTGGGCGAAGTCCTAGCAGGCTTGACGCGTCGCGGCGGCGGCGACGACAAGGGGCGGTTACGGGGCGCGCGCATGCCAACTTCATCGTCGTCGGAGTCGTCGGGACCGAAGCGCGGGCTTGGCGGCTTGCTTACGCCTACTACTGCAGGTGGTGGCTTGGAGCGGCGCTTACTAGCATAATTAGCCGTGTTGCTGCTGACGCCGCTGCCGCCGTTGTTGCTGTTTCTGTGGTTGCTACTTTCGTAGCTGCGGTGGGGTCTAGGCGGGACGTTGCTGTTATATCTTTGCCCTTTCCCGCGGCTTGCGTGGGGGCCTGCGGATGAAGCGGGCGTCATGGCGGCTGCCTCCTCGTCGCTGCCCCAATAGGACAGGGCGACGGTGGACGACGCGGATCGGCCGGAGACGATAGACGCCACGTCCGCGTCGTCGTCATCCTCCTCCTCATCGTCATCGATCTCTTCGACTCTGTCATCGTCTTCTTCTTCTTCTTCGTCGTCGCTGCTGTCCAGTTTGGTCTTCTTGATATCTGGGGGGTAGGAGAACCCGTTGGTGGTGATATAGTTTTGGACCGCCTCGCACGACTTGTTGAGCAGTGACTCGATGGCGTCCTGGACCGTGAGGCAGCGTTCTGAACAGAGCAATGCGTCGCGGGACTTCTCATTGGAGCGGACCGCGTACGCCACAAAGGATCCTGTAGCGACCTTGGCCTCGATTACTTGTACAACATCGTATTTAGATACGAAGAACTCGCAATTATCTGCGTATTAGGGTTAGCAGCTGGTGATAGTGAAGTAGAGATAAACTGAGTTCAGACTTGCCTTTTATCTGACTCCTGGGGTCGAACCTTGCAAAGGAATCGAGTGGTGTGGACATATTGCACTCTGGTTGTGGATGGGGAGAGGCTCTAAAGAACGGGCCGGGGAGACGTATGAGCATTGATCAAGATTCGAAAGCGATAATCTTTACTCTCGGGGATTAGGACCACATATCAGAAAGGACGTATTATATACGCGGACTGGTGGCGGGAGACGATCCCCAGGTGAGACTATGCACGTAACCTTGCTACGCGGACTAGGATTCGATTTATGGGACCTACATTGCATAAAAGTGAGGCGGACGTGAGTGTAGTAGGATCTATCAACATCATGTCTTGGCCATGGGGGAAGGTATCTCAGCCCAAGGAAAAGGGGCCATGACACAAGAATAGCTGACCATGAATTGTAGACCCGACACCGTCCGAAGAGGCAGTTTGGGGTTAGCAAAACATCTGTTACGTTGATACGTCAATGGCTGCAATGGCGGACCCAACGGTCGTATCAAGGGCACACAATACTTATTGGCGCTTTTAAGTAAGGCTCGGCGTTGACGAGCATTCCCCAGTCCAAGTTGAGAAAGGTTACACCGCCACACCTCTTGCTTCTACCGACAGCTTACGGGTACCGGCCTCGAGGTAATACTTGATGGAGGTGCATGTATTGGATGCAAACACGGAATGGTTGACCAGCTCGAAGGAGACCCTGAAAATTGTGCCCAATTTTTGCCACTATAAACCGGCCGCCCGTACCCAAAGACGACCATGATTATCGTTTGCCCGATTCGTAACTTCATGAAAGCCTGCCGGAAACAATGTGTCTAGAAGTGTTCGGTCCGGAAGCTAAGCGGTAATGAGCGGGAAAACCAAATAAATACTGGGCTGGTCTTCAAAAGCTTCGTGGCCAATGAAAAAACCGAGGCGAACGAGTATGGTTGGGTCCAGAATGTTGGGATTTGCAACGAACCTTCTAACAAAGAGAACTTATTGAAAATAGCCACTGCAAATATTCAGCTCATGTAATGAAACCATCGGAAGATGAAAGAGGAAAATTTTAAAGAGGGAAGGGATCCTCAGGTTATATATCTGTACCACCAAGTGAGTGGTGCCTATTAGGAATCGGAATTTAGCCAGTCTCTTACTATTCCACGACTACCATTTTCGTCGACATGCTAGGCTCCCGTTTTCCAAGGCCAGAAGAAGCAAAGTCTGTCTAGACCCTTTTCGAATCTTGGTTACTCAGCTGTCGAATGTCTAACATAGGAGAAGCCCATTCGTTTAGGCGGCGTATTGCAAGGCTGCATGTGGACTGATGTTCTGGACCCACGCTATTGGATAAGACCTGCCGAGCTTGCTGTGGTGAAACAGTCGAATCAAGAGAAAGGATCGGCGTTGATTTCCTGCTTCTCCTTTACCTGAGCCCAATTGGGCATCTGGCGACACTGCTTCGAGACGTCACAGTGAGTAACGGTAAGATTCGTCAACCGGCCTCCACGACAACAAGGATGCTGACTGTACCCTAGTTCGTTGAACCTGCCACGAAAGTAAAGAAAAAAAGAAAAAAATCATCCAATCGCCCTGTTTGTATAAACCGTATGCACATTAGAATGTAGTATCACATTTTATACATGCCTCGACGGGACGCATCCTGCGATAGGGTGCATCCCGGCGCGCCACGCCCGTCCGTCGTACTCTGCCTACCCAACTGACAGTCGCTCGAGTCGCGACTTCACCGCATCTACTAATGCCGTCTCTCGTTCGATGAGCCCCTTCACCTGATTGATCTTTGCTCGTCGGAGCTCCGACGGTATGCGCAGATCGGTCGTCGGTGTGCTGACGCCTTCTTCTCCTTCACCTGTCGTTGCGCCTAATCTTTCTGCCTCCTCCAAAAGTTCATCCCTCAGCCGCGTGACTTCTTCGTACCTCTTCCTAGTCTGCTTTAAGCGCGTGGGTCCGTCCGCTGGCGCTGTAGATCCGAACAGATTGGCGTCCAGAACCTCCACCTCCTTTACCCAAGCCTTCTCCTTATCGCTCAAATCGCGACTGGTCGCCTTACTGACGATCTTTCGCATCTTTTCTAATCGCTTGCTAATAGCCTCTCCCCTATCCCTCGCGCTCTGTAACCGTCGTTCGATGGCGGCATTGTTCGACTCTGGTTGGCCTTCCTCATCTTGATCCTCCCCTGTAATGGCTTCAACTCTACCCTTGACTTCGTTTGCCTTGTTCACTTGCTGTTTGAGTTCTGTTTGCAGCTGCACGCACCGGCGGAATACCTCGGCAGCCGCCACACCGAGTCTGTGTGTCTCCTCGCTAAGGATCTTGTGAGCTTCGGTGAAGAGTTGCAAGCTGAGTGGCGAAAGTCGAATTTCCTGATTAACGACAGTCTTGTGACGGCCAGTGCGGAGCTGATTGAGCAAGTTTGGTAAGACAGAGCTCTGGTCGAAAGCATGTGATGGCTGGAAAACGGGTCGAGGCTCATAGAAATCTAGGGGCTGCACTTCCGCATCCTTGTCAAAGATGGGCGAGGCTGGCCGAATAGGAGAAAGCTCGTCTTCCGGTGTATCGAAGACCAAGGCAATTGGATCGAACGGCGTTGCAGATAACAAGAGGTATCCAAGATCGGGATCACGAATCGCGACCGATGCGGTAAGGGGTAGTTGTGCGTCTCCCTGGGCTGAATTCGTGTAGAGCCTTTCCCTAGTGGAATTCTGCCCGCTAACGAGCAGATCAATTCTAAATTCGGACCCTGCTTGCGAATCGCCCTGAAGTTCACTTTCGAGGCGGAAAACCCACGGTGCCAATGAGACATGTGTAATGCTGGAAGGGTGTGTGATATAGAAAGAATATCTCGAAGTAACATCGGGGCTGAACATAGGCCAGGCATTGTCCGTGACTTCTAAATTACTCAAGATGTCCATGCTCTGAAATGTTAGTAGAGAAGGGGATCCGGTTAGACGACCCATAGCCTTTGATTTGTTTCGAGGGGGGAGCCACTGAGCTTGAACTCCGTCGAGGTCTAGGCACACTCTCAATTGGCCACTGGAAGAGAGTAGGCAGATGATGGAAATAGATAGACCTTCTCCTTCAATATCCTCCATTTCGAGTTCTTCCTCTTCTCCTATCATTAATTCGTCGGTGTCGAGCTTCTGGCCAATGGCAAAGATATCTGTTAGCTCCGTATCTAAGTCGTCCTCGCTGTCTGGACTTAATTCTAGATCGAAAGGTCCCTGTAAACGAGGGACTATACCAGGCCTTGAAGGACGTGTGTATATCTCAGTAGGTGGCTCTCCAGGGGGCCCTTCAATAACCTTGGGTTCTTGGTTATCGAGATCGGACATCCAGTCTAGCTGCTGTTGTGCTAACAACTTCGCCTGTTCAGAAACATTCGGGTCATCCTCGATCGCGGCTAGATTTCCGACGATAGAGATAGAGAGTGAGGGAATGAGGGTAGGTGGGGGAGCCCAGTGCGCAGGTAGCAAAGGACATAAAGCATACACATCTCCTTCACGCATCGCAACCCATAGCGTCATCGGCGACCAGTTTCCCGAGCCCCTGCCAGCGAAGCAGGCCGAGGCCACTTCCATCTCGAAAGAGTCTGGCGAGAATCCCTTATTCGTGAAGTCGGGTGAAGCGGCAAAATTCTGGTCTAGGGACGTGCCATCGGCAAGCTTCTGCAAGTCGATAGTAAGGGAAGGGGTGTCGAAGGACCATCGATCCCTTTGTGAGAGCTCCCAGACCCTTACAACGGCATCTTTCGTGACGGTGACCAGCGCAGAGCCGTTGACACCTAGCGGATGCCATATAGCTGATGCGATGGGCGATCGGTCCATAACGTGTGTCGTCGGGCCTAAGGTCCACGACTTCGGCTTAATAGCATCAAAGCTGGGCGCTGTAAGATGACTTGAATCGGGTATGAGAAGGATGCGGATGGTATGAGTAGTTACAACTGCCATAAAGTCCGCGTAAGGCGATATGACGAGTTGTTGGATGTCACTACCAACAGAGGTCTTGATAGTCTAGAAAGGATGGGTTAACAATTTGGTCGTGATAAGCATGACACAGAAACAACTTACTCGGAAACCTTCAGCGGACCCGTTCTCTATTGATTCTCTCAGCAGCTCGTCATCGTCATCCGAGTCCTCTCGCTTAATTCGAATACCGCCATGAGCTCTGTATTGTTTATCTTCCCATCGTTCTTTCATGTAAAGAAGATCCGCCCATCTGATTTCCTTTCCAACAGCAATGAACACTTCGGTACCGCGACGAGCAATAGTCCGCCGCGGACCATCTTTGGAAAGGGCCTTGGAAGTATATGCTAAAGCGGCTTGGGCATCGTTCGGGTCGGGTACGAAGAGGTCGTGGCCGGGCGAAGGCTGCAAAAGCCAAGCGGGGGTATAGCTCTTTATTTTAGGCATGTTCCTAAAGTTCGGTGTGGTCGGTGAGTAAGCTTAAGCTATGTCGTGTCATCAGCAGAATTGCATTTCTGCCTGGGATTTGCAGATGCGCGCTAGTTGTTTGTTGGTTCAAGTTGGGGTTCAATTGGGTATTGAAGTAAGTAATGGGAAGAGAAGATCTCGATGTAAGTTGGGATATTTTGGGATATTTTGTTGCCCTGCCAAGGTGTTTGCGGTAAAGTTCTGAACTTAGCCGTATCTAGATTTCCAGGTATGTATGTGTACCTTGGAAGATATCGTGGGGAAGTTTTGGTGGTAGAAAACAAAACGATACTTGTCCGGGTACCGAGCTAGCTCTAAGAAAAAAAGATCCAGGCGCGATCCATCTAACACGACGCGCATGGGAGCTCTAGCAAGAGCTACTGTATCAATTTAGGCCAATCACGAGCGCAAGAAAAAACAAAAGTGGGTACCAGCTTCAGCCTTCTTCAATTGACGTACCTCATGCATCTTACACGTTTCCAAGCTCATGATTCATTTCTCACGTTCAGCCTTCCGTGATACACAATTCCTCCGAAACAGTATCCTATCAGGTTTTTCTTTGTCCATTGAAAGATAGTATAAGATGCCGCACACCACTCGATCAACAGTGGACAGGTTAGACCGCCCTAGCGCGTATTACAACAGCCGGGTATGCTCTCACATTCCTCATAGTCCAACTTACCATGGCACCGACGCAAACTTACAAATCTTACTGGGAACAGAACAAGCGCCGGCGGAATGATCACGGTCGCGATGGAAGGGATGGAGACGCAGATGGAGCCAATGCCCAACCTGAAGAAGCACCAGAGGACCCCCTGAAGAACGCTACTACTCTCTACGTTGGCAACTTGTAAGTTTACTGCACTGCCCCCAAAGTTCATTACTAACGTCGTCGTCTTTTAGATCTTTCTATACAACAGAAGAACAGGTCTACGAGCTATTCTCTAAATGTGGTGAGATCAAACGCCTGGTCATGGGACTTGACCGATTCAACAAGACTCCCTGCGGATTTTGTTTCGTCGAGTACTATACCCACCAAGACGCTCTCGACTGCCTGAAATACATCGGCGGTACCAAGCTTGACGAACGAATTATCCGCACGGACTTAGACCCCGGTTTCGAAGAGGGTCGTCAGTACGGCCGAGGCAAGTCTGGTGGTCAGGTGCGAGATGAGTACCGCGACGATTATGATGAAGGCAGAGGTGGTCTGGGTAGAGCCATCCAGTCGGAGCGAGAACGCGACAATCTGCGAAATAGAGAACGAGATCATCATACTGAAGAGGATTACGGCCGCCTTCGATAGTCTCGACAACAGGCCCTTGACTGAAAAGACGGTTCACTTGATACCCTGTATTAGATAAAATGACGAATACACACGGTTATGGATAAACCACTGCTAGTTGCAAATTCACCGAGTTCATTTCGTGACGAATTATCCGCCCTCCATTGTTTTGTTCTATTCTTGTATAGAAAGCCCAAAGCCTATGTGCTTCCTGGGTTCGAGTACAATAGTATACAGTCCGTCGGATTTTGGTCCGTAGTCTAAGGTCACCCTGTTAAAATGTGATCCTCCATACGGCATCATCCTGCTTGCTATTCCTATGCCAGAGCTGAGCATGAGCATATATACGTAATTCGGGGCAGATCGTGGCAATATCTCGTAGAATAGTTCGTAGTACTTAGTAACCAGGCGGGTTGACTCTTTGCGACACTCTCGTCCATTTTGGGAGCTCTAATCGTCATGATCAGTATCTTCCCATACAAAAGCTTTGAACCTACTACAGCAGCAACGGTGAACCTACTGTGGATGCCCTTTCTATATCGCTTTGCTTTCCTGTCGAACATGGTGTATTTGTCCTTAGGCAGCATCTCGGCCTCGGTAGGCATTGTCTCTTTCCATGTCTCGAGGGCCTTCAGCGTCTCGCCCTGCTTCGCCAGCGCTTTGTCTAAAGTCGCCACAACCTCATCGACGCCCCGAAGCCGTTTCCGTTGTCGTGCTTTCTGGAATTTTGAGAGGCGCCACGGAACCTTCCTGTAAAAGTCTTAGCATGAGCAATGGCTGTGGGCGCCCTTGACCGGCTGTTCAAGAAGCAATTGGGTGCCTCAGAGCTCGATTCCCAAACGTACCATAGAAGACCGCCAAATAGCGTACTCGTCGGTCTGAATGCGCCGAACATTGTGCGTGGTATTATGCTCGACGATTCAAGTTTAGGTAGCTTGTATAGAAGATTGATATCGCAAGTAGAAAAGTTCGAGCCGACCGAATTATCAGCGCACGAGCCACCTCCGAGCCGCCGGCACCCCACGGCTAGGAACCACTTCTGATCCGCACTAAACCTTTCCAATCCTACCTAAGTATCCATGTACCTTCCTCAACCTAAAGTCGAAAGTTGAAGCTATCCGCTATTAATATCCAAGACCCTTCAACTTCGAAAAACCCCGACTCCTGTCGCAAATGATCGACAGATAACCAACTTAAACCCCTCCCGAAATATGTCGTACTATTTCGCCATCGTCGGAACGCAGGATAACCCGATCTTCGAGCACGAGTTCGGCACCTCGAAGCAGGGCGGCGACGGGCAGCCGCGCTTCAGCGACCAGGCGCGGCACATGAACCAGTTCATCGTGCACAGCAGCTTGGACATCGTCGAGGAGGTGCAGTGGGGAAGCGGTCAGCAGTAAGTAAAGAGACCCTCGGTCCAAACCCCGAAGACGAGACGGGGGAGGGGCAGTCGCAAATTACTTTACGTGGTTGAGCATCATGAATAACACTAAAACCTTGGGGAATATAATAAAGGTACCTCAAGTGCGTCGACAAGTTCTTCAACAACTACGTATCCTGCTTCGTGACGGGCGGCAACGTCAAGTTCCTGCTGCTGCACCAGCCGATCACGCCCGTATCCACGACTTCGACGCGCGCTTCGACGTCCATCGGCGCCAACCCTACGAGCCCCCAGACCGAAGAGGCGATCAAGAACTTCATGCTTGAGGTCTACGAGAACTGGGTCAAGACTATCATGAGCCCTTTCTACAGAGCAAATATGGAGGTAAAGAGCCCAGTATTTAGGCAGAGAGTTGCTGCGGCGGGGAGGAAATACTTATGAAGTACCGAGCATCTAAGAACCGGACTTGTGGATATTATTAGCCAGATAGACCAAGGCGTCTGGAGTTATGGGAGGCAGCAATTGAGGGGATCCGCTATTGCTATTAGACTTATTCATAATACAACGAAAGCATAATATATCGAGTTCATCGCGAAATCAAATCACAGTGGGCATCGAATCAAGTCAAAATTGTGTTCATAGCAAAGCATAAAAGCGATGCAATTAAATTCAGTTACTGCCGTAGCAAGTCATCGGGCGGCCTGTCCTTCAGGCGCCATCTCTCAAAAGTCATCGCGAAGACCATGAAACCGTAAACGTGAAAACCACCAACGCCATTGTCAGAATGTTGTGTATCATGCCAATCCCTTTAATGTCACTATCCTCCCCAGTTCATCGCGGTACTTCCGGTTTTGCTTCGACTTGCTTCTGACTTATATCGTTGAGCGGAACGGGCCGATATATAGCGAGCGCAGCAAATCCTTGGCAAAGGCGGGAAGTGAACGCGCTTAACCACCGAAACCGTACAGGGTGCGGCCCTGTCGCTTCAGAGCGTAGACGACGTCGAGAGAGGTGACGGTCTTGCGCTTGGCGTGCTCGGTGTAGGTGACTGCGTCACGGATGACACCCTCGAGGAAGGACTTGAGGACACCTCGAGTCTCTTCGTAGATCACTGTACATCTTGTTAATGGTTACTCAATTAGACGGAATTATCAGCGACAACTTACTGGCTGAGATACGCTTGACACCACCACGACGAGCGAGACGTCGGATAGCGGGCTTGGTGATACCCTGAATGTTGTCACGCAAAATCTTGCGGTGACGCTTGGCGCCACCCTTTCCGAGACCCTTGCCGCCCTTGCCGCCTTTAAGAACATGTCAGCATGAGTGTATATCGCATAAAAGAGATGGTTGATGATAATGATATGATCGCCGATTATCAATATACATAGTATTGTACATTGTATGTAGATGTATCGTCGCGTTATGGTAGGTCAAGGTCAAGACGCGTCTAGTGTCGAGACATCATGAGATGACCCGCCTACAATAAAGCGGTCGATTGCATCACCACTAGGCGACGCGATAGCGAGATAAAATGTAATAATAAGGGGATGCACTTACGTCCAGTCATATTGGCTGATGTTTATTATTGGTTTGGTGATACTTTAGTGATGAGAAGTGATTGATTTGTGGTAATTGTTGATGGCTGATGATAACCTGGGTAGAGATAGATCGATAAATAAGGAAAAGAGGAAGAGTTGCAAGAAGGACGGGGGAGAGGGAGTGGGCTTTTAAGTGGTGTAGAGTGGGAGTTACTGATTGCGGGTGGGATGGTACTAGTCTATTTTGGGGCCAGGCAACTTGGAATAAAATCAGACAGTAACAGGCATTTTTTAATTTTTAAATCGGCCTCAGAAACTGCTTATTTTCGCATGAGCTTGACAGCTTCCAAATTCTCTGATTTTGATGGACCCGCGGACTCTTTCATGGCCCGTGCGTTTGTCCCTTCCGCTTTCCGCTGCAAGAAACGTTAGCGCCCCTGCGCCCTTAAGATCAGGTCCCGGCAACCGAAGCTAGTGGTGGGGCTTCACGTGATTCAGCTCCGCGTTCATTCTCCAGTGGATGCTTTCTAGAACTCCGGTCATCCCACCTAAGTACATCTTCGGTTACATACAGTATTAAACACGCATGCAGTAAATTCAACAACAGTTATTAGCATTCTCAGCCACACCTGAATCTGATATCACGATGAAATACGGTGGACCGAAAGTTGAATAGCAGCTTCATCTATGCGGACACGCGTAAGGCAACCCCTTATTACTGCTCATAAACCCCTTTCCGTGTCATAGAGAAGTCTTGAATGGTCGTTCGAATGATCAGCAGAGGCGCTCATCAATACGCATTACTATACACTTTTATCACCATGCAAAGTCCCAACGAGTACTGATACACAATACGCTCCTTGTTTCCCGGTAATGGCAAACGTAATGCGCCACTTGAATTTCCCTAAACGCCGATGCATATGCCCAGCCAGACCTCGCAATACCGACCCACCAACACCTGGAAGGCCGACATGTACGAGGTAGTTCCGTACCTGATCTCGACTCCTAATCCTAAGATTTTCAAAGCATGCCTCGGGGATATCCAGCCAAACCTCCCTATGCCGCAGTAATCGTGACGGTAAAAGCAAAGAAGCCCGCCACCCAGCAAACGTAAGCAAGGGTTTATGTCGTTTCATAGGGGTAATGTCATGCCATCATGGAATCATCAAAGCTCTCGTCATCTTCAAGGCTCTCTATGGCTTCTTTAATTTGATGGCTTGCCTGGTTAACTCGTCAGTAAATTTCCATTCTCAAAGTTGAAGGATGCAACAAACCTTCGGGTCAAGATTCAGGGCAATGGTAAAATGCCGCACAGCAGAACCTTTGTCGTTGAGAGACTTGTACAGCTTCCCTAGCAGAAAATGTACCGTAGCCTCGTCGGGGGCCATCGTCTTCAGGATTTCGAGTTCCCTTTGGGCCTCATCGAGTTGATTAAGGGCTAACAGAGCCCTGGCCTTTTTATATCGAGTTTGAGCAGCATGCGGAGCAAGTTCGGTGGCTTTGGTAAAGAATTGAAGAGCCTTCACAATCTGTCGCTGTTTCTCAAGGACATTGCCAATGCAGCAGATCAAGACAGCATTGGTAGGGTTTATAACGGATGCTGAGTGAAAGTGGACGTAAGCCTTGTCGTAATTACCGAGCTTTTCGTAGACTCGTCCTATGCCGTAGTACGCGTTGTAATGCCGTCGGTCGGCTGATATCGCCTGTCGGTATGCTGTGAGGGCTTTCTCGTACTCCTCGTTCGCAACATGTTCGTGGCCTTGAAGAGTAAACGCATACGCAAACTTAGGGTTTAGCTGAGTTGCTCGTTTAAAACATCGCAATGCTTGTTCGTGATCTCGGGCGAGTGACCAAGCATTCCCGAGCGCACACCAGGCTTGAGGAGAATGCCACGACAATTCAACCAGATCATGAGCGAGAAAAGAAAGATCGGTCTCTCTTTTGAGGAACCAGAGAATCGTCGAGTATACTTCCATATCCTCGAGGCGAGTCGGACGGCGGCCACGTAGCATCCTAAAGTACTTCTCCGCCTCCCCGTATTCTGCCTGCTCATAGTAAGCCCGCCCCATTTGCGACAACACCCACGGGGACTCCCGATGTGGCCGTGGTAACAGATTGTATGAGGTTATAGCCTCCGCGCACCGATATTGAGATAGCGCGAGGTACCCAGAGCCGAATTTCTTCAACAATTCCAAGAGATATTTCAGTGTCTCCTCGACCTTTACGGACTCCGGTTCTGCTGATTTTATGATTGAGGGTTGAGGTCGAACCTCTTTGATTCGTGGTGCTTCGGCGTGGTCTACATCCATAGTATTCTCCTCCAGTGGCTTTCTATTTCCGCTCACGGCTCTACCGACGTTGGAACCACTCGAATTAGGACGTACGATCCTTGATGCATGGGGCCTGACCTTTTTATAGTCCCGCGAGGCGCCGACGGCCGATGCTGCGGAGTTGGCCTTCGCGTTTCCGCCCCTGGGTAAGTTTAACCTTGCACTCCGTCTCTGCGGAGCTCCAGGTTCTTCTGAATGATGTTGTCTGGGTTGGACATAGGCACCAGATACAGTCCTCTTCCCAGACACACCTGGGCCTGATCCTCTAAGAGTGGGGTTAGACTCTGTTATGATATCTTCTTGAGCTTTGTCCTGCAATTTCTGGCCTCTCTTAGTACCTGCCCGATACCCCAGCTTTGGTGGCACGTCCACCTGGTTAGAATCGAGCAATTGCGCATTCTTTGTCCTCCGAGTAGGCGCCTGAGGAGGTTCTGGTTGATGATTCATCCGAGGGATGTTCGAATCGTGATGGTTGGATATCGGTGTTTCCATATGATCCAAGCCCGACTCAGTAGTAGTCATCACCTTAGAACGAGTTGCGTTAATTTTAGACATGAAGTCGTTCTCGCTGGGTAAAAAGTTGGAGCCGAGGGCCATTCCATTCCCATCTGTTGATCTTTGAGGATCGAAAGGATCCCCTGTCGATTCGAAAATCGTAGATCGAAACGACGTCTTCTTAGGCTGAATTTCAGTCGGCATAGCTACACTACCGTCCTTCTGCTCCGATGAGACCCCGTTCATTGGGTCCATGCTTAAGCTCTCTACCAACGTCTCATTCAATCTGAAAACGTTAGGCGACCTAACAGGGACACCCATATCACACAAAGCCGTGAACGCGTCCCACATAAATGGATTTATCTTCAACGCCTCTTCAAAGTTAAGACTCGCCTTTGTCTTGTCATCGTATGCCTTGTAAAGTTTCCCGAGCAAGCAAGCGGTACTTGCACTATCCGGGTACAGCGCCCGACTTGTTGCCCCATACTTCCCCAAGCTAGATTTCCGTGACCATGAACCTCTAGACTTCTCTAGCGCTACGATGCCATCCTTGTATTGTCCAAGCTCGAGGCAGCATTGGGCAAATATGTATGAGCAGGAAACGTTGCCCCCACTAGCGGCGACGGGTTTGCTAATGTCATAAGCTGTGTGATAGTCACTGAGTCGGAAATAGCAGAGAGCAAGGAGATACTGCGGTTCGCTTGATCCGTGGTCATGTGAAGCTAATCGTTCGGCAAAGAAGAGGGCGTTGTCGTAAGATATATTGTCGAGGTGATAGTAAACCAACTGCCTCAACTGGCCCGTAATAGCCGAGCCGTTGGGCGCCATATTGAAGTTACGTGTTATAGGTGCCTAGGTAGGTATCAAGCGTTGAGTTCGGCGGCAGGAATCTTCGTGAATGGTTCGCGGCGCTATTCACGAGGGGCCATGTGGTTGCCTTGAGAGACAGCGTAGATTTATGTATCGGGAAGGAGACGAGGTCGGAAGTAGATGAAGGAGTTGTAGGTCGGGATTTGAGGTTTGGTGTGTTTGGTGTACTTGCGAGACAAGCCGCCACAGCACGGCGGCTAGCAGGGTATTCTCGACGATGATTAGTATTATAAGTGATTTAGTTTGAAATACCAGGCCTAAGAAGTCGTATTTGCAAAGGTAAAACGACGGTTGGATTTAACGAAGTGGAAATATTTATCGACTTGGTCTTTGTTGCTTCGAACAAGCATCTCTAATTGTTGTTGTGGCCGATGTGACTTGGACCGGGAGCGTAGTTGAGATGTGATGTAGAATATCGAATATCGAATATCCCATCAATAAGCCATCAGGATCGGAGAGAATGGATGTCAGAAAGGAACAAAGCGATAATATTGCCCTATAGGCTTCCAAGCTCCCAGCCCAAACAGCCTCGTGCCCCGATAATACCATTCAACGGTATTTAGAATAAGAGGAAAACCCAGGTATCGCAGTGGGGATTGAAGAACGGTCAAGGTCAAGTTAGCAGTTTTTGCCTTGTCGCAGTCCGAGCTTCCTCGCGATTTGAGAGATGTTATGGTGGATGGAACTTGTCGGGGCGCTTGATTGGTTGATTGGTCGAATAGCGACCTGGAGACAGAGGGCGCTCCTGCCCGAGCAACAGCACGGCGCTAACAAATTGTAAACAGTACCAGGCTGCCAGGGCCACCTCTCTCTGCTCTCTTTCTTTTTTTAAGGCCCCCACCCGCCACTTTCAATTCGCCATTTGTCATTTGTCATTTCCAAGTCACTTCCAGCCTCATCCATAAGCCACATAATAGGCCACAGTAGGTACATTTTTGGAAGATACCACCTGGGCACTTCAACTTACTTCATTACCCATCATATTGTTACATATATGTCAGCATATCTTTCTCAATCATCATTCACCACTCCTTTATAGAGTGTTGTTTTATGTCATAACGTATAAGGAGAGCTATAGGTCGATTTCATAATGGCTCAGAAGGCACGCAAAGACAGAGCGAAGGCCAATGCTACTGCTCTAACGAATCTTCACACCGGCACTCTTATCGTCAATACCCTATTTTTCCTGTTCAATTTTCTGATCAAGAAGCGATCTATGCTACTTTATGTTATCCTATCGATCCCAAGCTTCATCTGCGAATATGTCTTAGAATCATCAGGCCGGCCTAAATATGACTCGTCTACAAAGGCGATGCAGAATGCCGGTGAAGACTTATCGGCCCCCGGACTCACAGAATATATGTTTGACGTTATCTGGATGACTTGGGCATCTGTGGTGCTTGTCATACTACTCGGCAATTGGGGATGGCTTCTTTGGTCCGTTGTGCCTGCTTATGGAGCCTTCAAAGGATACAGCCTCCTCGGTGCAGCTCGTGGGATGGCAGGTATGCCAGGGCAACAGCCAGATAATGCTGCCCCGGTAGCAGGAAACAGGAAGCAACGAAGAGCAGCTTAAGGCGGCTTTATATCACAACAATATCAACCCGCATTCTACCACGAGGGAACCCCTTCAACTCTTCAGTCTATAGGCATGTTATGTTTACCTAAGCATATATCACTATAACCTAGTTCGGCAACCTGTGACATTCGAGCTCCCTAGTCCAGTCGTCTAAGAGAGTCTTCTCGACATCGTTGACAATGACATGAATATCTACATGTCTGTGTTAGCGACGTTTCCATAGAAAATTATGAAGGTGGTCTCCGAGTTGTGGGCCTCTCTCAAAACCACCGAAGCCATGACATATGAGCAAAAGCAAAGAATACATACGCTCTAGCGCTCTCACACTTTGCAATGCAACCCAATTCTTAAACCACAAGACTCTATCATCTCCGTCCTGGCCTAACTTATTGACAAAGAACTCCTTCACAAAATTCGCGACGTTGCGGCGGCTTTCTGGGGTCATGTCTCCGGTCTCGGGATCTGTCTCAATTGGTGTTCTTGACCAGACGACTATGTGGGTCATATTCGGGGCCAGCCCATAAGGCCAGTCATTGATTAGGACTCTATAATCAGATGGATCATTAAAGGGAATGGTTGATGCTGGTATGAAAGGGGGCCAGCCCCAAGTTTGTGGTAGCCGGTGTTTTATGAGATAGTTCGTTATTGATCCATATTCTGCCTTGGTCTCGGCAGTCCACTTCATATATCGTCGCAAGTCGGAAGGTTTTCGTTTCAGAACGGAAAGATTATTCTCGCCTGATGACTAGTTTAAGCTATTCATCATGAAAAGTACGCAGATGAAGAATGAAAAATTGCCCCTACCTATGATCTGCTTCACTTCTTCCCAGCCATGATAATGATATTCTTCATCGGTCAACGACAGAACCCATTTATCTACGTCCGTTAGAGGGAACGGTGCATCATCAGGGGCGACTTTAATTGTAGCGTCACTCATTTTGGGCACCGAAGCCTGACGACAAACTAAAATGCATCAAATGAAGCGAGTTTCCAGAGACTACGGGGCTCAGAATAATCGGCATCTATCTTAAACGATTGAATGGGAAAGGCGATGAGAGAAAGAGTGTGAACGGTAAGTTGAAGCTATTCGAAATACTAGAGAATGATAGTCCCTTACTGTCTGCCACATATTCTGCCACATGTTCCTATTCAACGCTCTATTGAACTTTCTATACCTAAGTACATCAGCCACATATGGACATATTTTCTGCCCATGCTGATTGGTCCAATATAGAAGTACACCTACCGAGTGGATAACCCGAACTCAACCCGCGGTTCCCGAGTCGCTTCCGCCCGCCAAATTCAATATCCAACCAACGCATTGCCGCATCCATTGGATGAGGCCACATTATACTCCACATTTTTATAGTTTCCCCGAGTTAGGAGATAGAAACAAGCTGGGGTATTTTTAACTTTGGTGTCTTTTTTTTCAATGCTCTTTCCCACAACGGACCAACCATAATATACGAAGCTGACCGTCAGCTTTATCGGTCCTACATTCTCTTCCTTCCCGCACCTCTACGGGCATGCGACCGCCTAGTTGCTGACAATCAGAAGATCATCTCTCAGTCAATTAATACAAGCATAGCTCTAGGATTGGCGTCCCAAATCGGAAGTCGGTAACTTCGGAAACTTTCTGTATACACGATGGCAACTCCAGCTTCCTGGTCATCGAAAGCATATATCGATGGGATATATATTCCGGCAGGTCTACTAGTGATTGGAACCTACATCGTCAAGCAAGAATGGACGCCTTTCGCAGCGCTCATTGCAATTGCCTTGGGCGCCCTTAAATACTTCCGTTCACGTATGTTTATTTTATGCTATTATTACAAAGTCGGTCTAATCATCATCTACAGTGCCCAAGAAGGTCTTGAAGCCAGATGTCTTCCAAGAATTCGAACTCAAAGAGAAGACGATTATCTCTCACAATGTAGCCATGTCAGTTGTCTCCAACATAGCCATTTTTCGCATCGCTAATAGTTTACAGCTACCGATTCTCTTTGCCTGCCCCGACTTCCATCCTCGGTCTTCCGATCGGCCAGCACATTTCTATCGGTGCTGCTATCGCGCAACCTGACGGCTCCACTAAGGAAATCGTGCGATCGTATACCCCTATCTCTGGCGACCACCAACCCGGCTACTTCGATCTGCTCATCAAATCCTACCCAACCGGCAATATCTCCAGACACATGGCCTCTCTTGGCGTAGGCCAGACAATTCGTGTCAAGGGCCCAAAAGGTGCCTTTGTCTATACTCCTAATATGGTCCGCCATTTCGGCATGGTTGCTGGTGGCACTGGTATCACTCCTATGCTCCAGGTTGTCCGGGCAATTATCCGAGGACGAGCTGCGGGCGACAAGACTCAGGTTGATCTCATCTTTGCCAACGTCACGGAACAAGATATCTTACTCAGAGAAGACCTCGACGCGCTAGCAAAAGAAGATTCCGGTTTCAGAGTGCACTATGTTCTTGACAAGCCTCCTGAGGGATGGACTGGCGGTGTAGGATATGTGACGCCTGATATGGTTACCGTAAGTTTCTATCGTTTGAGCTGTTCATGAAGCTCAGAACTAACAAGTGGCTAGAAATGGCTGCCGAAGCCTGCGGACGACGTCAAGATACTGCTCTGCGGACCACCGCCCATGATTAGCGGGCTGAAGAAATCTACAGAAAGCCTCGGTTTCAAGAAGGCTCGCCCCGTGAGCAAGCTAGAAGACCAGGTTTTTGCCTTTTAAAGTAATAGATCATAGACTATATGTTGGAAAGATAGAACTTTTCAATGAGTCGTGTGACCTTTTCAACCACGCAAGACATCTGCAGATACCGCGCAATAAAAAGGAATTATATGTCTTCGTCTCGCCAATGGAACTCGTTCGTCAACAACAGCCTCCATTTACACAGCAAGGCACATCACTTCAAGATTTAACTAATAATCAACTGCCTTGTATACGAAAATGAATAAATTTACGAGCATAATCAATACTGCCTACTTATCCGATCGACATGATTTAACTAAAGATCACTATTTAATTTATATCCCCTGAAGTTACTACTTGCTTCGCATTGACCTATGATGTTTCGCAGCAATATCCTGCGAAAACAACATTGCGCAAAACGCCAGAACGTGTCCGTTTAGACAGTTCAAGAGGATATTTACCTAGCCATATTGTTCCACAGACTTGCCAAGTATCATCAGCTGGGGTTAACGCTGATTTTTTATAGCTCATGCCGTGAGTGGCACGTTTAACGTGAATGATTGAATTAATTAAGGGGACACAATTCATGATATTACAGAATGATTCCACCGAAAAAGTTGATCAGGACCTACTGGGGCATCCAAGCTCTACCAAGACTCATTAGCCAATCTGGAAATGACGAGGCCCTACAATGAATGCTCGAGCAATGCACATGGAATTTCGCAGTATGTGGTTTAACGAGGACTCTGCCGACTCGCTTGCATTCAATAGCGTTCTAATTCCACCGATAGAAACGAGGGGATGCTCAAGCCACTTCCGTCACCACTAAAAGAAGGCAACTCTTTACAGAGGACTGAATGGCTATTTAGCCCCCAACGTCCCTAGGGTTACCGAGCCGTCAGGTTACACGGACAATGTTCCAACCGGTGAGGACGGGATTTCCGAATCGGCAACTGAAGCTTCACCGTCATCCCCACCCGCCCCGGATAAATCACATGGTGCGCTTCTTTGGCTGTTCGTTTGCCTAGGCACCTACCGGTAGGTATTCTTCCAAGGTCATCGGGTTACTAACTGAACAGTTAATTCCTCGAATAATGACATGGATTATAGAGGAGCAAGGATGATATTAGTGATGAGGGCAACGGATCTAAAACAATATCATAAGTTAGAGATTGAGTGATGAGGCCAAGCTTCAAGAGGAGTCGTTGTGAGTGGTCTTGATGCTTAAGACCGAGGCTGCCAGCGTGTTTGTAAGAGACATGTTGCAGTTGGTATGTAGGTAGGTCATGCTTGCCCTAAGCCTATACAGTTATCTCGCAGGACTATAGAATATTGCGGCCCATATTTCCATTGATGATTGGTTTTCTATTATTCTTTTCATTGGACATACCCTGCCGGTCTCGGGAAAGCTGCCTGGTGGTCGATAGGCACATGACGAGATGCTATAGGCAAATTATAGCGTAGACAACTTCTATAGTATGTCTTGTACAGTAAGTAGCCTTTCTCAAAACCAGCTTGCACTATCGACTAGGCGACTCGACTTGGCGATTGGCAAAATATATATAGTAAAAATGTTACCTATTACATAAGTAATTCACATGTAATTTCAATTACATGGAAAGAGATGCGTTTGCGATGTACTAAAAGAGAAACTGTTTCGTAGATATATCTGATAGCTGTCAAGGCTGCAGATATCTTACCAATAAAGTCAATCGCAGGACCAATAAAATGCTGAATAGAAGATGTTGAAGTCATTATCATTGGTGTCAACATGTACTTCGTACCCAATCCGGCAGTCGGAGCTGCATTGCATGTGGTGTCGACCGGGGTTTTGATAATCAAAGGTCGTAGGCAGGTCACTATGCACGTGTACCTAATGGGGTACTTCGATGAGGCACGCTGGCAGGGCTTGCGGCGATGCACAACTTAAGCTTGGCTTATTAAGTGGTAATTGTAAGAGCCAAGAATGGATTGACGGATGTGATTGTCAGAATATGCAGTCTTTTCAATCACAAATATTTCATTTATAAGTTCGTGTATGGTAGCTACCTCGTTTATACCCATTTCGTATACCCCGGCAAACCGTATGATGTAAGGTTATCGTTATCGTTGCTTAGACTTTCGCCGGCTTGTACCTTCGTATTGCCCACAGGCATGCGCCGAATCTTCCAGACCCGAACTCAGATAGCCCTGGAGACCAAATTTGGCCTTGCCAACAGTCGAACCAGGTCTTTCCAGGTCGTCGGAGACCAATCCTACCATTCCTTCATGGGTCTTGGCTCCCACACCTACCATTTTCTCCACACCATTTCTCACACTTCCTTACCTTCTTCCCAGCAAATCATCTTATTATTGTACCTATCATTCCTTCCTCGATTTCGACTTTGTCAATTGACGAGTGCGGCTCCCAGAGTTCCAGCCTCCTCCACACTCCTCCCACGCAAGGCAAGGACTTAGGGCTCATTAGACTTCCAAGGTTTATACAAGAACGAACAGCCTTTGGACTAAGTGCGGAGCTACTGGAGTCAATTCCAAGTTGTACAATACATACAATACATGCATGGAACAATACAACAGAAAGTCACTTAACATAAACGATCAAACCTTGTGACTATTCGGATACTTCAGATACTGCAACCGCAGTTCCGAATAAAAGCTGATAAGAGGACAGCTCCACAATACAGAGACAGAGACAAAGGCAAAGGCAAAGGCAAAAAAAAAAGCGAAGCAGATTTCGTATTTTTACAAGCACTTTGCGAGTACTTGATCACTCTTGTTGAAATTTATTGAAAAATTAGGAACATTCTGTCTTGCCTTGCCTTGTCTCGTTGAATGTTGGTCGGCAACCCAACACCAACAATGCTTATTCTTCATCTATTGGCCGTTTTCGATTGATCTCATTTTGTGGTGCGCGGCGTGCTCGGCACAATGGATGACACCACAAGTCTAGTATCCGACCTTATCCAGAAGCTCGCTGAGCTTGATAATAAGGTCAATATATATCGCCAAGATATGGCTCAAGAGTTCTATCGATATTCGCGCCAGCGCTTACAAGACGTGCCGGGGCATGTTTCTGCCAAAGTCCAAAAATTGGTCGCCGAACACTTTCAGAATTATCCGGCATTGAGCCCCAGTCTCGGCCAGGACATTGACCCGCAATCGCAAGAGAGTGCCAGCGACGTCAGCACCGACGAGAAGCCATGGCCTGTTAGGCAACCGTCGCCGCCAGTCTCGCCTCAAATTCCTTTCCTTCCGCTGTTCGATAGTCCCCGGAGTCCGCATGAACGAGAGCGCGAGTTTCATGGTCTGTTTACACCGAGTTATCTTCCCTTGCTTGATGCAGTACAGCGACGTAGCCCGACACCGTCTGCGTTGCCGCCCCCGGTACCTGAAATCAAAGAACCTAACAATAATGAAGACACATCACTTGCTGCTCTGGCGAGTCCAATCGTTTTGCCCCGACCAGATCCCGTCCGACGGCATACTGCGGATACGGAGTCCTCGATCACATCCGATGACAGCACAACACGGTTACGAAGAAGCGCTCTCCGTCGCTCATCCAGTTCCTCTACTAAGGCCCAAAGCCCCAGACGAGTGCGCTTTGACGTCGAAGGTGAAGAGGTGCTTCCCACCTCGTCGCCACCGGTCTCACCTCGTGCATCGGATTTTCCGCCGTCTCCATCAGGCAACCCCACTAGTCCTCTAGATGAGTCATACAATGCGATTATCATCAACGAAGATACCGACCTACTAGGCAGCTCTCCGCCGATGCCTAAAAAGATAACTTCAACTGATCGTCTAAAGGCTATGGCGCGGAACTCAAATGAAGATACCTCGAAGTGGGAGGTTGTCGGCAATCTGGAAGCCATCGACGATGACGAAGAGGAAGAATTAGTCATGGCCGGTTTACACAGCCGAAAAGCAAATGACGCATCTCAAAATTCAACCAATCACGTAAGCTCGGACGGCACGGCACATCGTATAAATGATGCGCGCCTCCCGACTCAACTTGGCGCACCTTTGACATCTGTAAAAGAAGTCGAAGAAAACGAAATTCCTGAAGAGGCTGATGATATTGACGACGTTCTCATGATGCCGCCACTAAGTTCATTCAAAGACAAGAAGCGGTTTTCCCCGCCACTCGAAACGACTCCCAATTCAGAATCGAATGACCTCGACTCGCATGGAACAGAAGAACACAACTCGTCAAAACCTCCGATTGATTCTACAAGCGAACCATCACTTAACGAAGAGGATTTGTTTGAGTTTGAGGACCGGGATTTCGATTCAGATGATAAAGGCGATAAAACCAAGTCGACTAAGAAATATATCGAGGAGGAAGACGAGGAGGAAGACGAAGCTGATGTGACACCTATAGCTGAGAATCCGGTCCTGTTTTCGACGTCTCCAGCAATTCCCATGGCCAAACCTACTTCTGTTACCACTCCTATACAATCGCCTCGCCAGATGGCTGCATCTGCGGGGTCATATCGCGGGAAGCCATTCTCAATCGGCGTCGTTCGTGATCCAGAACTGCACAAAAGAGCCGCAGAGATGGGCGATTTCTATACCTTCGTCGGCAGTGTCGACGGGCGAAGTGGAGTTGATGAATCAACTAGTTTTAAGCCTGACGTGACCTACTTTGACGGGACACCAAGAAGCCTTAGCGAGCGCTTGATGAGGGAGGACTTGGACGAAGCTCGCCGAAATGCAGAAGCAAACAGCCGAGAATAAGTTTTCACCCACATCGACCCCCAAACACCGGATCGCGTCTGAATACATATGCGTGGGATCTACGAATGAAAACCCAACCTGTCCGCCGCGACGGTCCCATTATCACTCTAATTCTTTAATGTCTAACTGCATTTTCTTGCCGTGTACTTGGCATTCGGTGCTTGGAGGAGGCGGATCTGCATCTATGTTGGCGTTGAAGGTGGCATTATGTTTTACTTGGTCTCATTTATGGTACGGCAAAACCATCGTGCATATCCGAGGACACGTATACGAGGGTTCTATAATGAATTCCCTTCCTATGGTCATATGGTGGGATACAGTGGCAGCGGCTTGTATTTATATCCGGTTACTTTCCTACTCTGCATCTGGGCATCTGGACAGGTTAGGCCACAGGAGTTATTGCCTCTGGGGGACATCTTGTGGTTTGTCTGAGGTGAATCGGTAGGCTTGGGGACGGCTAGTAAGTATGTGTCCACATATCAGCATCCTCGAGGCTGGAAAGCCTTGTTGGTCTGGAAGAGGGCATCGGAAGGAATTGAACTTTAATCCTATCGCAAAATAGTGCTGACATAGGTGCTCGATATGGAGGCGATGCTCTTGAAAGGACCGATAGTCAATTAGAACAGTGATAATAATGATGGTTGACTATGATCCCCACTGCTTATACTAATGGTGACGCCGATGTTCTTGAAATGACGAAGCTCTTCCGGGGAAAGACGAGACTACATATAGATGCTATGAGTATCTTATAAGATACCAATTGATAGTGCACTCGACATGGTCAAGTCCATGGGCATATATCGACTTAGGTAAGCAGCATAAGCTTAGTTTTACTACCTACACTAACGTCAAGGACAACTTTACTTGCAGATTCGGTAGGTTTGCTAGAGCCTTGGCGTTATACCCGTATCCACTTGGTTCGATACTAAGGTCCATCTACTTTTTGTATTTTAAATTGGATTTCACGCAGTTTTAGACATTTTCACACCTACCTATTAAAGCAAACGAGGCACCATCATCTTTTCTAGAATGCAGAAAAAATCAGACATAATGTTACACCCAGCCTACTTGATGAGGTATGAATACAGGTACGGTACTGGCAGAAAGGGGCGCAAGCAATGCCGTCGACCAATAAGACTCGGTAACGCATGAAATTTGGACTCTGTGCCTACACCAAATCAGTTCACCGCGACCAGGGCCGCTAAACCGCTTTCTGCTACCGAGGGTGGCATATCTTGACATTTTGGGACATCCTCCATCCTTCATGTCATGTTCAGCCGACGCTTGTCGCAAGGCGTCCCTTTCCCACTCCAGCAGTCCAGCTCTTGTCGGCAAGAAAGTCTTGGTGCGTTAAATCTCAAGTGAGTGTGGAATATCACCCTCAAGTGTTGCGGCTTTAGCCGAATGTCCCGTCTACACCCTTACAACTCTTGCCCAAGTGATTGATTCTGTCTACTGTCCAACTTTCTATCCAAGTCCCAAGTTTCAGTCCGTTACGTACAATCTTACCCGCCATGCGGTGCGGCAATACCATGTAAAGACGACGAAGACGAAGCCGAAGCCGACGCCTACGACATTTTTCATTCTTTTTTCCTAGTATCTGCTTGCCTTGCTCTTCCTTTCATTTCCTCCGCCCCTCCCTCCTCCTCCCTCCCGTCGCAGCTGGTTGATCAGCACAAGCGTATGTGATCATGGGTGACCAGCCGTTCGTGACGATAAGTGAATGGCAGCCCACGGATGGGCATAGTTTCAGCAGTGGAGATTCTGCCGTACGTCGAGAAAAGAGAATAGCCAGGCCTCAAGCTCGCTCTCATCTAATCACATCTTCTCAGTATGGTTCCAGCATTGAAGATGAGAGGACCCCGTCGGCCACACACGATATTAGCCGTGTGAGCTACCACGTCAAGCATCTGCCCGAGTTCGCGAAAACTTTAGAGGATGTGCGTGTCTGCCCTCTCCTTATATCAAATCATGCGCCCGCCCGCCGTTATAGAGCTAACGAGCCTACTCTCATAGTCGGCCACCCGAGCTTTCCCTAACCGGGGAGGCTCGCAGAGATACAAGAAAGTACATGTCCTCCTTCTTCACTGGACATGCGATGATCTGTTTGTCCTAAAGGAGCTCGACGACCTGGAAGCATGCTTCCGAGAGGAATACAGTTTCCAGACGGAAACATTTCCGATACCGTCCGACAATGCGCATCTGGAATTGATGTTAAAAATTGGCGCCATGATCAAGGAACATGAGTCGAATGATACCTTGTTCATCGTGTACTATGGTGGCCACGCAAGAATCGATGAGTCGAGGCAGAGCACGTGGTGCGGGTAGGTTATTTAGTTGCTGTGCCTGTTCTTCCGCTTGATATACTAATAGGAAACCCAGGACCCGAAGTTCAGATTCGCCATGGCTCCAGTAAGTCTACGTCATACCCCGGCTAGTCAAGTCGCATATGTGTGACGGCGTTAACGCTCCTGTAGATGGTCTGCGATCCAGACATTGCTGGAAAGGTCTCTCTCGGATGTCTTGATCCTCTTAGATTGCTGCGCTGGCGCCGCAAGTGCTACTTTCCCTAATGGTAACAGCATAACAGAAACAATATCAGCATCTAGCTGGGATGCCATCGCTCCAGACCCGGGGAGGTATTCCTTCACCAACACACTAATCGAAGTACTCCAAGAATGGAGATGGAGGACCTTTTCCGCCGCTATGTTACACGCGGAGGTCCTCGCGCGCCTTAAGCATCCGAGGCCTGAGATGTTGAATGGCAAACACTTCGAAGCACGTGCTACGCCGGTACATTTCATGATGACCGCTAACCACAAGGCACCGAGTATCGAAATCACTCGGATTCTGTCATCGGACGCAAGGCCCCCCTCACCTCCCCAGGAATCGGGTTTCGATGATAATCCCATGAACGGTCGGTCAGCCGGGCCGCAGGATATAGTCGGGTCCGAGCCAAACGAAGACGTACCGCACGTGATGATTTCCCTCGCACTTGAAGAAGACCAGCGCCTCAACATCAACGACTGGGAGCACTGGCTTTCTAATATCCCTGCGCTCGCTAAATATGTTAAAGTTCAGGGAGTGTTCAAAAGCCATTCGACACTCCTGCTCTTGTCTATGCCGGTGATGGTCTGGGATCTGCTTCCGGAGAACCATGCGTGCAACTTTGTCGCGTTTATTCGATCGAATAACTTAGCCATCCGGAACCAAAACGAGCCAAGAGTAGTAGAGGAAGAGGTTTTAGCGGGCGCCGATATAGATGCAGATTTGAGGTCAATTTATTCGGGAACCACGGCATACACCGCTGGACCTCGGGAGTCTCTTGGGGGTGCTAGGTTATCCATGATGTCCGCTTTTTCAAATGGTAAGACACCGATGGAGCCCGCCTTCAGGGGTTTCGAACGGCCGTCGTTTGATGGGTCCAGCCGTGTTTATCGACACTCGTCGAACGCGATGCCTATGGATCAGTCAAAGCCGAATAGGGGCTGGTCAACTTCCTCTCGTGGCCCCTCGACAAGGCAACGCCCCGCGCCTCTTCATAAGAGCATGTCTTATGGCAATATCGCACAACAACTAGCCATAAATCAACCTCGGGGCGCAAGGAGAACATCATTGGCTTCTATATCGAGCCAACCCGAACTTCCACCACGTGTTCAGACACGTTTGGAGGAATACTTCCATGACAACCCATTCCCAACGGTTGCCGTCAGGGAATTCTTAGCATCAAACCTCGGAATAGAGACTTCAGATTTAGAGGTAAGCTATGGCAAAAGAAGTCCACAGGGATTCACACTAACATAGTCTAGACCTGGTTCAAACACCGTCGAGAACAACAGGAAGTGGAAAATAGACTACAAAGTCTAAAGATAGATGATCACAGTCATGATCCACCAAATGATGGCGCTCAGATGATCCTTCCCGGGCATCTCAACAAATTACTTGAAATATTCCCGGCAGGCCGTGGCCAGATCGTGGTGATTGACCTCCGCTCACCTTCCGAGTACGAGCAATCTCACATTCACGGTGCCATCAATTTCAGGGCCCCCGAGTCATTTGTGGCACGAGCAAGCATGGAGATGATCGAGAGGGCACTGCCAGACGAGGCGAGCCGTAACGCGTTCAATAAATGGTACGGTAGCACATGCGTCGTATTCTACGATAAGGTAGTCGAGTATACTTGGGAAGCACCCGTAGCCGACGCGCTATACCAGAAATTCAAGAGTAAGGGTTGGGCTGGGCAATGTTTCGTGCTCAAGGGTCACTACCGAGAATTCTCGCATTCCTTTGACAAGTACATTATTAGTACGAACACAACGAGCAACGCCAAGGAGTACTTCGCTAGCCTTGAGGACATGTCCGAGGAGAAGACGGTGAGTTTGGATGAGGGACTTCGAGATAATTATCGTACTAATTTTGCTATAGCAGGAAAATCATCAACAATACGATGATTGGCTGAAACTTCTTGAAGGTGAAGATAGGGTACATTCAACCGACCTCGTCCCAGCGGTGAAAGCCGAGCGCGTCGATGCTACAGTGAAGCACCAAAAGGAAATCGAGATCGAATTCGAAAACAGACATCCAGACCTACACAAGGAAGCCGTAAACCGAAGGCGTGACAGTAATTGGTCCATCAAAGGTCCCATGGTTCCTCACCTGGAGCGCGGCATTGCTAAGATGCAGGAAGCCGGAAGGGGTATGGGAATGGGCCGATCCGCTGCTCCTCTAGGGGACTATAGACGAACGGCGGACAAGCTGTCCATGTCGGATTACGATCTTCTCGAGTCCGAGGACGAACACTTAAGCCACGACTCAGCGCCACCGAAACTGAGTTCGGTCCCCTCTCATAAACTGGCATCTGACGATACCGCCCCTGAGAAAAAGGGGCGGTCTGGACTAGCCGGAGGCCGTAGTCTCCTGGGAAAGTTCATGCGAACCGGCCGCCAGGATCCTCCGCGGTAGAGCATGTGATTAGGAGGAATCGGTGAACGGGCTATTTATATCACATTTATTAGAAGTTTCTCGATCGCGGCGACTACTACTATATATTTCGCACTTCAGACGAAGGGGGACTCCTAGTCCGAGTCCCCTCGGCGCTATCTTCGCATTTTACCTGCTATTAGAAGCATTTTTGGGATGGATACGGGAACTAGTGCGATGGCATTTTTGATGGATGAGTTTAACTGCGGCAATATATCACATTGCATATTCTGGTTGGGCGGTCTCATAAACGGGGTTAGGGAGTGCGGTAATTGCGTTGTTAGATGGGTCTGTCCCCGGGAAGGGGTTTATATTTACTAGGTACCCGGATATTATCTATCGGGATCTGTGTAGATCTGTCTAGGTATATATACAATTTTGTATCCGGACTCGACAGGGTTTTCAAGAGTCGCGAGACCGTTGCTCCTGGATAAGTTGAATGTTTTCTGTGTTTTCCCTAGGGGCCACTGTAGTACTTTAATGTATATATCCATGCTGTCACCAAGGAATAATCTACATCATGACACCTAGAAATTTGCTTGTTAAGGTGATTCGCCCTGTGATTCTACATGTAGTGATAGGACACTTTGCCTTCCTCAAGTCTTTGCCCCTATTCCAAATCATATCACGTAGGTAGGTAGCTAAAATCCCATAATCAACATGTACCTAGGTATCTAAACCAAAATAACTGAATATTACGTATGAGACTAGAATGTAAATTCGATATCCATTAGGTACCTATCTATACAAGAAAATCTCATTGTTTATAAATTCGAAAAGGAACCTAGTGCTAATTGTACCTGCGGATTCAAAGAAATGGCAGCGATATGTCAAAATGCGGTGATCCACGTTAGACAGAAGGGAGGAAGGCGAAGACCAGACGTGATCACATAACCTTTATAGATAACTCCATTGGTTTTATACCTAACTCAATATGTATATGTGGTTTGCTAGCTGTGACAAGGGGACATACCGATCACATCAAATCCAAAAAAGAACGGTGAGCCCTTTAGCTAAAGCGACACGAAGATACAAACTTTACTTAGGAAGTAATAGGTATTTACACTACGAACTCATAAACTACTCAATCCATCTCTTAGGTTCAGGCATTCTAATGTGAAGTAGAAGCATTTCTATTTGCATTAGAATTACCTAGATAATAACAAAAACGGTGCTCTATCTGAAAACTTTTATTATTAGGTACCTAGGGAACAAATTTCTTCATTTTCTGCTTTTGTCTTATGCAGTTGTAGTAGGCATGCAACACCTGCGCCAGTGATAACCACGTATTGAAGATTCCTAGATCGTATTGATCATCGGTTAGGCACGTAGGTCGCAATAACGGCGATGGTAGGGTTGGTGTGTAAGGTTGGGGTTACCACGCAGAAAGTTGCGCTGACTCCCTACCTCCTTCATCGTGAAAAAGGTGTCACAAGGTTATCAAGTATTAGGAAGACGTCCCATGCAGGTCCTACAACAGCCCAGAACTGGCTTTGCCTTCTCGTCATACCTTAAGTTCGGAATCTGTTAGCCGGATGATGCAAGCAAACCACTCTCTATAGGCCAGACAGTTCGTCCATGTGCACGGCGATCGACCTCCTTCCCATACTTAGTATGGTGGCATGACAATGATCATGCCAGCATCCTCATGGGTTCCATGTATATACCTAAGTTTCCTGATACACTGTAGACCGTAAAAGAAGCCCCGAGGTCGTGCTACGAGTCGTGCTACGTCGTGCCGGCTGTTCGGACATCCATCTTATTGAGGCAGGTTTTTGATCATGCCAAAAGCTTTCTAGTGAATATATCTTTACTCTATGAATGATGGGATAATTCATGCAGATGATGTTGTGTGTGGGGGATGACTCACCTTTACCTTCCCAATACGAATACTCACGGATGAGAAAGGAGATGTTCCGTGAACCTACTACTAAAATGATCGTGAATTCTAGCGATAATCATCAGGATTTTATGATGTTTAGCTGAGGTTTACGGGTACCTAGCTAGTTCTATGATACTAGATACAGGGTGATATCTGATCACAAGTTACTGTTGGGATACATTGGTGTCTGGATGTATCGTGCTCGGAAAATGTTATTCAAGCTACAAGCATATAACATAACTATCAAACGACAATGTATCACTAACTATGAGTCCAATATCGGCTTCTCCTAGGAGAGTCGACCCTGTAGCGAAGAGTGTTACTCCAGGTTTAGTAAGATCTGAGGGACCTTGGTGGTGCTAGGTTAGGTAAATTCGTATAGTCGTCAATAGGTAGGTAGGTACAATAGCAATAGGGGGACTTTGAACTGGCAAGGAAAATGACATGAGGTAAACCGTTCAGAGTACTATTCTTGCCTTTTATGAACGTATGGAACTTTCTGTGCCATCAAACACCCCAAAGAGTACTAAACTGATGCTAAAAAACAGCATCAGTCAACTGCTCATATTGTTAGTCTCTTGGCAGTAATGAACTTAAGGGAACCGTGAGACACGTGGCTCACAAAAGACAGAAGCATATTAATAAGGCCGGTAATCGCTGACATCTGTCTCTGCAGGTGCTTAAGATAGGGGTAATTCAATTTCACCGAATATCAAGAAGCCGAGTCCACGAGTATGCAGATGAGTCTTGTATCAGCAGAGGCGACGTTTCCCAATCTAGGAGGTATAAATAACTAATGTCTACTGCCGTTAGAATAAGCCGGCCAAAATGAGCATATCATAGAGTCATTGCTATGTCGGGACGAGTTGTAGTGATAGATACTTCGAGTACCTAGCGGATAGGGGAGGCTGATGGATCTATTGCCCGATGAAGCATCTCGATTAAGCGTAGATTGTTTGCCTCACCGTAGCGTTCAGGTGCTTATATCTGCCTATCGAGTGGGGGACTTGTTGGTTTGAATCTCACAAGCCTATCATACATGGCTCGGCATTTACCATCTCCTTCTCTATACGTATAAGCGTGCTTCGATAGGTACCTAAGTATGCCCACCTGTCCATCTGTCTATTTTCCGTGCTACTTATTCGATCGGTTTGTCATACGGTAGCCGCTAAGGCATGACATCCACCGAAAACACTCACGTAGAAGATGCGGTAGTTATGAGATCTCATATACCGAATCTGGTCCGGATGACTCTTATCCCCCGTCGCTAGCTCCGAGCGACGATGATGACAATGGCTTGGTAATCAATGATATCTGGGTTAGGTACGTATTCGCTAGCCGCGCGCATACTACATACCAACACGCGAACGACCATACATACATGCGTTCACACCTCGTATGCGCGATATCCAAGTTTTAGACTGCCATTGAAAAAAAGGCTCCGAGATGTCACCATGAGGTTGTCTCTCCCCCACGCCATGGGTACGTAGATAGGTAAGTAAGTAAGTAAGTATGCAGTCTAGAAAGCGGCAACTCCGTCACTAGCTTAAGGTGAGGTTCAACACAGGTCGCGCGAATGCGCCCCTAGACCGGGCCCCATTACTACTACCTTCGCCGTTCCATCCGGGGATTCCCAACCTGGGGTAGCAATCGAGGAACCACGCCGGATAGTTCCATGAATTCTTTTGTCTTGGCCCGCGCGCGAAGTCTTGCTGAACGTGCAACTGTTCGCAAAGCCAACGCCAGAGCAACGGCGAAGAAGCGTTTCTACATGTTTCCTAAAACCTCGGCGCTTCGAAACTCCGGCGGCAGCTAGTTGAGTTTGACTGGCCCCTTGCGCGCGACGACGGCATATCACGTACCGCGGCGCTGCGCTTCCGAGGCGGCAATGCGGTTTCGGCCTGCCCATTCCTAGCTCAGCTTGCGAGGGTGGCGCCCTCTCTCTCTCTTAGCGACCTAGCGGCGGCAATGCGCGTCTTCCGGCCTGAGCGAACAAGATCAGACGGTCCCCTTCTCTCCGGATTCGCATCCGCGCTTGCTCGAGACTTCTTAGCTTCGCCAGGCCAGCTCTCCCCCCGTACGTAGCTCCCGGACCCCCTCAATTGATAGGAGTCCCGCGGGGTGGGCTCGGGCTTGCATGACGGCTGAGGCAAGCCGAGATTTGGGGGGGCAGTGCTTGGAGTGTCATGTTCATCTGAACGCAAAAAAAAAGGAAACAAAGTGGTCGGCGAGTTCGCGCGCTCGTGGCAGAGATCACACCGAGCGGCAGTTGAGAGAGGCTCTTTTTACTGCCCTTCGAACTAGAGTGAGCCGGTGAAGCTAGCACTCCTAAGTCCTGCGGCAGCCCTACGGGCAGTTTCTCCAAACGGGGTAAGGAACCGCGGCCGTTACAGGAAAAGACGCGCGGCGTATGCGCTTGATATGTCACCTGTCACTTAATAATGCTTACCTACCTATAATGGTAGGTATTGCTGCCGATTACATAGTAAGGGAGGAAAATTTGTCACTTTTTCTTCCCCCTATTCTTTAGGGCTTCTTTTTTTTCATATTACCTGTGGGATATTACGGGGCAGCGGGTAACCTCGCATCTTGGTACTGTGCGTGTATCACTATCTCCCTATGAGCCTCATCTTGGGAATGGGCACGGCATTGTTGGCTCGTGTTACTAAGTGCATATATGGGCACGGGTCTCTCGTATGTCGTATGTTTGCAAACGAGATAAACAAGAATTAACCTACCGAATAGGGGGATTGGGGAGAACGGCCCGCGAATGATTGATTTGGTGGGCCATTCCCACTCTGGAAGACAAGGGGCCCGAACCACAAATCGCTCGTTCTCGGTTTGGCTCAGGCACCCCGTCATTTCAGATTGACATGCCCGTTTTTCTGTCCTGAACCACACGTGTCAGAAGTGTGTTCTAATACATGCATGTAGAGTGGTGTCTAAGGTATCATCTGAGATATCGCTGTTCAGTGAATAGGTAGGTATGGATGAGTGAAAAAGATTATGTGAGCGTATGTAAGGGACTTGACCATCTTTGCTATAGCGTGCCCTTAGCTAAGTCTTATAGAACGGACATAGTGAGAGGATATGGAAATACCAAAAATTTAGCAAGTTTTACTAACGTCCGTAAATAAATATAGTCAGTGGGACCTCGGATTCGACGATGCGCACCTTGCACACACGGACGAAAGACCCCTACACTATATATATGTACACCAACTCGACGGGACAAATGCTACATAGTACTGTATACTACGGAACGTTTATGTATAGTCGCAACGATCTCGGTCGCAATCCAGGGGTCCATGTTGGTTCTTTGGGGGCAGAGATTTCCTGAAAGCCGCAGGGATCTATTACGCGGGACCGGGGGAGACCGTTAGTAATCTTGTTAATTATAAGCGAGGACAAGGAGGCAAGCTTGACAGTTGACAGGACAGGGGGCGGTTGATGACCGCAGACAGGGAAGATGATCCTGAGATGCGATTCGGTCGCCAGATATGTGACAGCCAGGGGGTGCCCTGCGAATGCCATCCCATCATTCCCATTTCCCGTCCCCACGGATTTTAGTTGACAGGCGCTCGGGCCTATGTTAGGAGAAGTTTTGAATTGTCCTTACAGATTTCTGTCATCTGTCATTCTGGAATAGCATATAAATA